TTCCAATAAAATGACCCAAGGCAGAGTTATATAGAGGCTGTTTATCGAATGTCTGCTGAAACAAAGGAGGAAGCAGCTTTTAAATGACTATTCCTACTTGGAGGGGAATACATTTTTCCCCTGTAAAAATTTCCTCAGAAGTATTTTCTAAACTTTAATGGAAGAGTTTCTTGAAAATTATAAGGAAGAAGAAGAAAAGTAGGTCTTGCTGTCTTAGGGGTGGTAGAGGTGGAGAAAAATCCATGCATAAGTGTACAACACCCAGTTCAAACCTATGTTGTTTGAGGGTCAACTGTACTGTGAATTTGTAAATATAAATATTTCAGGGTATTTAATAATTTGAATATGTAACATGAATCCAAAGTATTCCACTGCAAAGTATTTGATTATTTTTTGCTTTTCCTTAAAATTCTTCTTGATTTATAGTTTATTATCTATGTGAGTTTTATGTTTACATAATTTACTATCCAGGATTCTACGCTGACTTTAAAATTCAGTAGAAATGGCAGTAGGTTAACAGTTTGTCTCATATTATCAACTTTTAAAATTCAGTCTTTGACTTCTAACTTGTACCTCACATATGATACTTGGTATCATCTAAATAGATCTCTTTAATGCCTAGTGGATAGCAGCCAACTAAACCACCTCTTGGTTTCTCTACTTATGCAAACCAGAGACCATGATACACAGTGGAAAAGAAAAACTGGACCTTCTCTGGATTTGTTAAAATCTCATGCTCTCTCCTAAGTATGAAATCTTAAAAACTTTGAACAGAGCCTTCAGTTGTCCACATCTCTGAATTCTCTGTCCTTACAGCAGACAAGATCCAAAGTGAGATGGAGACTATTCCAGAAGCAGGACCACATGAAGAGCTTTCCTGTGGGCAAATCTGGCAACAAATTGCAAGTGATTTAGGCAGGTGTCAAGACTTCATGATAAATAGTTCTCAGTTTCCCACCCAAGGTGATTTGTCCTGCCAGGTGGGGGCAGAACTATCTATAACTCACACAGGACAGAAACTTCACCAGAGTAATGAATGTCAAAAATCCTTCAGTGATGTCTCCAGCTTTGATCTTCATCAACAGTTACATACAAGAGAGAAGTCTCATACATGTGATGAGTGTGGAAAAAGCTTCTGTTATAGCTCAGCTCTTCGTATTCATCAGAGAGTTCACATGGGAGAGAAACGTTATAAGTGTGATGTGTGTGGTAAAGAATTCAGTCAAAGCTCACATCTGCAAACTCATCAGAGAGTCCACACTGTAGAGAAACCATTCAAATGCATGGAATGTGGGAAAGGCTTCAGTCGTAGATCAACACTTACTGTGCATTGCAAACTACACACAGGAGAGAAACCTTATAATTGTGAAGGATGTGGTAGAGCCTTCATACATGCTTCCCACCTTCAGGAACATCAGAGAATCCATACTGGGGAGAAACCATTTAAATGCGATACATGTGGTAAGAACTTCCGTCGTAGATCAGCACTTAATAATCATTGCATGGTCCACACAGGAGAGAAACCATATAAATGTGAGGACTGTGGGAAGCGTTTCACTTGTAGTTCAAATCTTCGTATCCATCAGAGGGTCCACACAGGAGAGAAGCCTTATAAGTGTGAAGAATGTGGGAAGTGCTTTATTCAGCCTTCACAATTTCAGGCTCATCGGAGAATCCACACTGGAGAGAAACCATATGTATGTAAAATATGTGGTAAGGGTTTCATTTATAGTTCAAGTTTTCAGGCCCATCAGGGAGTCCACACTGGAGAGAAGCCATACAAATGTGATGAATGTGGGAAGAGCTTCAGGATGAAAATCCATTATCAAGTGCATCTGGTAGTCCATACAGGAGAGAAACCCTATAAATGTGAGGTATGTGGGAAAGCCTTCCGTCAGAGTTCATATCTTAAAATCCATCTGAAAGCACATAGTGTGGAGAAACCTTATAAGTGTGAGGAGTGTGGGCAGGGCTTCAATCAGAGTTCACGACTTCAGATCCACCAGCTGATCCATACCGGTGAGAAACCATACAAATGTGAAGACTGTGGGAAGGGGTTCAGTCGTAGAGCAGATCTTAAAATTCATTGTAGAATCCACACAGGAGAGAAACCATATAATTGTGAGGAGTGTGGGAAGGTCTTCAGTCAAGCCTCACATCTTCTGACCCACCAGAGAGTCCATAGTGGAGAAAAACCATTCAAATGTGAAGAGTGTGGGAAGAGCTTTGGTCGGAGTGCACACCTTCAAGCCCATCAAAAAGTCCACACTGGAGAAAAGCCATACAAATGTGAGGAGTGTGGGAAGGGCTTCAAGTGGAGCCTGAATCTTGATATGCATCAGAGGGTGCACACAGGGGAGAAACCATACACATGTGGGGAATGTGGGAAGCATTTCAGTCAGGCCTCAAGTCTTCAGCTTCATCAGAGTGTCCACACTGGAGAGAAACCATACAAATGTGATGTGTGTGGTAAAGTCTTCAGTAGGTCTTCACAACTTCAGTATCATAGGCGAGTTCACACAGGGGAGAAACCTTACAAATGTGAGATATGTGATAAGAGCTTCAGCTGGAGATCAAATCTTGTAAGTCATCACAAAATTCATGCCGGTGATACATTTTATGAAAGTGATGAGAGTGGTAAGAACATCAGAGAATTGACAGAGGAAGGAAGTTCTACAAAGTGATGTATTTTAAAAACCCATGTACAACCTGAATTCTTACAATATGGTTTCACAGGAGAGAAAATGTTTGTTTTATGTAAGTTAGTGTTTAAAGCAATAACTCAACATATCCCTGTGGTCCAGAGACCACACAGCTGAGAGGCCTTGTAAGTGGTACAGTAAAGACTTCAGTCAGAACTTTGGCATTTACCAGATATCACTTAGGAGATAGGACTTAGGCAAAGAGTTTGGTTTGGCTTTAACAAAAGTATAGTGATGAGGGTGTCAGAATTGATATCCACTAAACTATAAGCTCCCCTGGGAAAGGAACTTTGCTGCCGAATCTATACAGCCTTAACATTGACTAGTGCTTAGAGGTGTGATCAGTATTTGTTTGTTAAATGAATCAAAAGGAATAAATGTACAATGTTTGAAAATCATATCCAAAGGAGGAAACCTGCAAAATAAAATTATTCAGGGAAATGAGCATTTGTTGAAATGCAGAAAACCACCGAATACTGCAGTCTACAATACTAGTATGGTATTACCCTGTTGCAATTGACTCCTGTCCTATCTCTAGCCTCTGCTCTCAAGTTGGATTCTTATTGTTTCAGGCCCTGTCTAGTTATGCAAGGGTTGTATACAGTATAAATCCAACTATCTTTTGTGATTTTTCTGATAATGCATACTGAAAAAGTTTTATTAACCTTACAACAACAGGTACTGAATATTAACACAATTGAATTTTTATCCATAAACATTAAGGCAGGAGTTTACTGTAACACTTTTAAAGTGTCAGAAGTAGTTAACCAATCATAAAAACAAAATTACCCTTATTAGCCTTGAATTTATTTGATTTCTAAGTCTGCATTTCCATCCAGATTTTGAAATGATTGTCTTCCTATTACTGTAGTATTCTCTTATCAAAACTTCTCAAGTAAGAGCTATACCATATTCTTACCCTATACCCATGAAACAAATACAAAAAAAAACTTGTATAAATTTGATTATTTTATCAAATGTATTATTGGGGCAGGATTGACATTGACGTTCCCTATTGGTAGCAGTAAAGCATGGTTTTGGGAAAGAAGTATATAACAGAATATAGGTTGTACATCTCTTTGATTTAGAAATTATATAATTTGAATTTATGATTATGAGATTAAAATGCCAAAATATAAATAACATATCAATGATGTCACTGATTATTTAAAATGGAAGCATGTGTTCCTCTGTAGGAATTTGAATTTTGATACATTCATTCCTGTATTAATCTGAGGCTATTAAAATGATGGCAGATATCTGTAATGACAGGAGAAATACATAATATGGGCATTGGGAGATCAGAGATTATAGTCTTTGTAATGTAAATCTTTGTGAGTGAATGTGTGTATGTACATGCATAAGATAATGTGTAAAGGGATATCCTTTTTTAGTGATTTTCTCTATCAATTAGCATTTTGTAGTATTTTTCTATTTTATAATTCCATAAGTTAAGTTTTAATTTCTTATTTGAACATTACCAAAGCAGTAAATTATGGACAGTAGAATTTGGAAAAATACTAAATGATAACCCCTTAGAGTTAAAGCCTCTCTCTCTCTCTCTCTCTCTATATATATATATATATATATATATTTTTTTTTTTTTTTGAGACAGTCTCGCTTTGTTGCCTAGGCTACAGTGAGTACCGTGGTGTCAGCCTAGCTCACAGCAACCTCAAATTCCTGGGCCCAAGTGATCCTCCTGCCTCAGCCTCCCGAGTAGCTGGGACTACAGGCATGTGCCACCATGCCTGGCTAATTTTTTCCATATATATTAGTTGGCCAATTAATTTCTTTCTATTTATAGTAGAAACGGGGTCTTGCTCTTGCTCAGACTGGTTTCGAACTCCTGACCTTGAGCAATCCGCCTGCCTCGGCCTCCCAGAGTGCTAGGATTACAGGTGTGAGCCACCTCGCCCGGCCAAGCCTCAATATTATATGATTGTTTTATGTGGTTATATGGCACATGAGAACAAAATTAAGTAATGGACTGTGGCTGGGCCCGGTGGCTCGCGCCTGTAATCCTAGCACTCTGGGAGGCTGAGGCGGGCAGATTGCTTGAGGTCAGGAGTTTGAAACCAGCCTGAGCAAGAGTGAGACCCCGTCTCTACTATAAATAGAAATTAATTGGCCAACTAATATATAGAGAAAAAATTAGCCGGGCATGGTGGCACATGCCTGTAGTCCAGCTACTCGAGAGGCTGAGACAGAAGGATTGCTTGAGCCCTGGAGTTTGAGGTTGCTGTAAGCTAGGTTAACGCCACGGCACTCACTCTAGCCTGGGCCACAAAGCGAGACTCTGTCACAAAAAAAAAGTAATGGACTCTGAGAGCAAGTTTCAAAAACAAAAAACTTCTCTGCATGTTTGAATACACAGATAAATTGATGAGTGTGAACAATGGTATTTTTTACAGCGAATGTGTGCTACACTTTTTAAAGCATTAATCTATAACAGGGGGAGCGCAAATCCTGGATATAGGAAGAAAATGGGTAAACATATGTGTGGAGATATTAAAAAGGAAAAAAAAGGTTCCCTAAGGAAAAGGTGTCATAGCATAATAGCAGCAGACCCTTTTTGGATGTGGAACTGGTAAGGACGAAGAGCAGGTTTGGATGTCATTCCATACTCCTTAGACATGATGGTAATATTTTCTGTGTAGTTGATTAAAGGGCTTTACTCAACAAATTATATCTAACTGGGGAGACTTTTTTCACAATTGATTTTCTGGAGTGTACTTTCACAGAATGCTCTGTACACCCCAATTTGCATGATAGAAAGTAAATTGAGCAAAGGGAAAATGTGCATGGGATGAAGTCCAGAGGAAATCAAGCACAAGTTTCCAAGAGTCCTCTCCCTGTGGAATCATTCACAATGTACTAAATTTCTTCCAGCATTGAATTGTAACAACATGTGTGAATTGTCTACCAGGGGAGCTCAACAGAGACTCAGTGCCCTAGGTTTTTAGTTTAGTTTTTTCCTAGGAGCTGGTCAGGTAGGGAACCTCTCCCTAGCCTATACCAAAATTCCAGACTCTCAGAAGGAAAGTAGGTATTCAGTGTAAACCACATTGTACAAATAGCTTATGCACAGTGAGCCACTCTTATCAAGGAATTGTGGAAATCCTACCAAAATCTAAGTTTCCAGATACCAGTCAAGGACTAACCTTGTATCTTTATTTGTGCTGCTGTAACAATACCAGATTGGGTAACTTATAAACAATAGAAACTGATTTCTCACACTCTTGGAAGCTGGAAAGTCCAAGAACAGGGCACTGGCAGGTTGTGTGTAGTGAGGGCTGCTCTCTGCTTCCAAGATGGCACCTAGTTGCTGCATCCTCTTGAGGGGCAGATGCTGCATACTAATGGCGGAAGGGATGGAAGGGGAAGAGGGGCTTAAACTTTAACAAGGGAACGTCATCATTCAAACCATAGCATGTTGCAAGCAGGCCTTTGTAAGGATAGTAGTCTCCAGCCTATGTTAACTGTTTTCTGTACACGTGGCATCAGAAATCCGGTTCTTTCCTTCTTTACTTTCTTTTTAGGTACCACCAGATATGATATTAGGTCATCTTTCCTCAAGGTAATTTGTAACAGAAAACTCAGTAGGTTAAACCAAAATAATTTGTTGACACCCCCTCCCCATAACTGATAAGACTGTAGGTACCTCCTGATAACCGGAGTGTTCAGGTTGGTCACAAGATAGCTGTAGAACCTGGGAACTACCTGGATTTGGGGCAAGGGAGTGTTGTTTGTTTTTACTTCTATGGTGAGGCTTTCTAGAGTTTACCAAGAAGATTCTGTGATAGGCAATGGACTTACATCCCCTTGACCATGTCTGTCTTCGTCCATTCAGGCTGCTATAACAAAATACCATAAATGAGTAGCTTATGAACAGGAATTTATTTCTCACAGTTCTGGAGGCTAGGAAACCCAAGATCAAGGCGCCAATAGCTTAATTGTCTAGCGAGGCCCCCTCTCTGGTTCCAGGATGGGTCTCCTGGCTGTGTTCACACATAGCTGACTCCCTGAGGCCACTTTTGTAAGAGCACTAATCCTATTCATGAGGGTTCTGCCCTCCTGATCTAACTACATCGCAAAAGCTCCACTTCCCAATGCCATCACCTCCGGAGTTAGGATTTCAACACGAATTTTGGTGGGGGAGGGGCGAGAGCCCAAACATCCAGACTGTGGCACTGTCCAAAGAGAAGTGGGGTTCTGAGAAGTGAAAACAGGAGCTCAAGGGAGTTGACAGCTTCTGCATCAGGGGTCTCCGACATTAAGGAAGTGTAGTCCCGGAGGGCTGTACTGTTGCCAGTTTTCCTCCTTCCCCCTTGTCCCCCAGCATTTTTGACGTGTAGCCCAGAGAGCCATGTAGTCTCACATACTTAAGCTACAGTAAGGCCAAATTGTAAATATTTTTTCCCTGCGGAATTCTGGGAAATGTAGTTCCAAACGCTCCCTGTAGTCGTCGGCACTTCCCACGCTAGGAAGGCAGTGCTGGGGAATTCTGGGAAGTGTAGTCCCTGAGCTCCTGGTAGTCGCAGGTACTTCCGCCCCAGGAAGACTACGTAGCAGCCATCTTTGCCTTGGTTTTAGTGATTCAGATCTGCTGCATAGGAACCTTCCGAACTTTCCTGAAATGTGCTTGAGGCCAACAGCTACCGGACTTTCGTATGGAGAGAAAAAGGAGGAACAGCTAAATGCGGAGGTTTGAGGCGCGAGGGTGTTGTTTTGTGTTTCCCTGGGCAGGACTTCTTTGCGTTGGGGTCTTACCAGGTTGGGCCAGCCCGGGTCGTGCTTCGCCGGGTTTGAGAGTGTCCGGAGCTGTCCGCTCCCCTATCCGACTCCCCCATCTACAAGCCAGGCCTACCACTTCATACGGTATCTAATTGGGCTAGTTAGTTAACCCCTCTATGCCTTCGCTTGCTATTCTGTAAAAGGAAACTAAAAGTAATACCTTCCTAGTGTGATGTTTGAAAAAAAACGAGGTAGTACAAAAAGTTTTAAATGAGTTTCTATGAACCCATGAATATGGTTTGTCCCTAACTCCTGATGTTTTTAGGAAGCAGAGGGTTGCCTCTAGCTGGTACTCGGGAATGCACTGTGATTTATCTGGGATGGAGACACAGTCCTGATATTTCACAACCTTCTTTTCTTTCCCCAGTCCTGACTTCTCAAAAAAACACCGTTTGGAGGAGGAGGCAGCAGAGGCCCCTGTGAGTAAGACACGTCATTTTTCCTCTACAAAGATATTTACATAAATCAGAAAATATGTGGGCCATGTATTGGAGCATGGGAAGTGATCATGTTGACGAACCCACAAGGGGGGGTTCAATGTTGCTCCCCACACAGCCAGCCAATTCTGAGACAATGATTGTCGAGGAAGAAAAGGATTTATTTCAGGAGACCCCTCTGCTGGGTGGGGGAGGTATGAACTGCCTCAGATTCCTTCCCCCCAACCCCAATCAACAGGATCAGGGGGTTTTTCTGGAGGCAAAATGAATAATGCATGAGGAGAGTGAGCATCATTATGTGTTTGGGGTGGAGTGCAGGGCATGCGAGCGCATAGTACATATGTCCCATGATCAAAAATGGTAGATAAGTCTGTCTCCAGAGTGGAGATTTTAGTATTATAATGGGCAAGGGGTTAATATTGGTCATTCTTTTAGCCTGTGCACAGGCTCAGTTGGTCGTCAGGGACGATCTGTAGTAGAGTATCACTTATCTTGTGTTCTTGTGATGAACAGGTGGTGTGAGGCTTTGTAATTATTTCATGGCTGCAAGGAGGTTCCACCATTTCTGGGAAAGAAACTCGAAAGAGAATGCATCAGTGCAGTAGAAAGTTGCAAAGTTCTGGTCAGCAAATACTACCAAGAGCTTTCTGTTTTCTGCGTATTTTGACACTATAGCTGCTAAGCTGCCAGGTGTGAGATAAAACTCACTGTCAAGGTGGCTTAGAGCAGCCAGCCCTAACCACAATGTGAACACTGAAAACTTATTTGAAATATGAGGGAACTAAAAACGCTATTGAGAAAACATTTTCTTGCTTATGGAGCTGTTTACAATTGCAATGAAACGATAGTTGCTAAGTCCCATTCTAAGGACACCTTTCCACCACATCGTGGCTCTCTGAAGTAGTATTGCTATCTTTCCTTCTCTAAAGGTGAGGAGACTAAGGCACACGTGTTTGCCTATATAGTCAGTCATCCAGGAGGCAGAGCAAGCGTTGGAGCCTAGGCAGTCTGAGTCTGGATCTGAGTTCATGATCTCTTTGATGTAGTCTCCCTGAGCCATAGGAAACTGGCTAGTATCATGTGAAACTAGGATGGGATTTTATTGCAGAGAATTTGAGAGTCAGGTTTGGTCTGTTCTCTGAGTTTTTAAAAGTAATTTTCTCAACTATTTCATTTTTAAAGTTTCTAGTAACATGTAATCATGGAAAATTTAGAAGACACAGAAATATATTTTTAAAAAACTTAAATTAGCCAGAGCCTTTGCATGTAAAGATAACAATTATTAACCTTTTAGTGCCATTTTGTCAGGTTGTTCTTGTGTATATTTCTGTTCCGTTGGGGCTATTTGGGACTGATAGTGCACTGTAGTCCTATTCAAACTGTGATCCACAAACCAGCAGCATTGGCATCACCTGAGAAGAAATGCCCAGATCTTTTTATTTAGAATTTTTACAAATGGGACCCAGGAATCTGCATTTCAGCAAGATCCCAGGGTGATTTCCATGCACATTTACAGTTTGAGAAGCTCAGGAAAGAGTCTTATTTGGAAACTCAGGCCTAGAAAACTGACCCTGCCAGATATCACTGATAAAACTGAGCTGGCCATATTAGACGTATTAGAACTTCACTCAATCCAATGATTTTTCCTTCCCACTAAATATTGTTAATTGTCAAGTTTGTATGCAAAATCATGACATGAGCAGAAGGCAGGTAGCAAGTCTTACCAAAATGGAGAAACTTAGAAGTCCTGAAAATATATGTCTCCCAGGCTTTAGATAGTGGATTCATTGCCTCTTTTGTATTGGAGCACTTCTACCAAAAGCGGGAATATCAACTACTAGTTACTATTAGTTGATGTTAGATGTTATTGCCAGAAATGTTATCATTATTTATCGCCATTACAATTTTTTTTATTACCGTTGTTATTACTATGACTATTTCCTGATTTCTTAATTTTATATAATTTCCAACTGACAGAAAAGTTGCAAAAAATAGTATAAGGAAATTCATATGCTCTTAACCTAGCTTCACCAATTGTTTACATTTTGCTTATTTGCTCTGTTGATGACCATAGCCAAATACCACCAGGAACATACCTATAACCAAGAACAGTTAAGTTTATTTTAACTTGCTGCAGCAAAGAAGCCCACATACCACGGGGAATCATCATGCATGGGGTGTCTTGGTAAGAGGCTGATTATAAAGTTTTGGCTTGTAGTAGCTGAGTTGAGGAGAGTTTTGGGCAGTATGATTGGATACTGTCATTATTGAGTAATTTGATAACTGAATATTGTAGTAATTTTTACATAGGAGGTGGGGAAACAAAGTGAGACTGTAGTTGTCACTTGTAATGAGGTAGTCACTCATGTTAGCTGGGAGAGGCAGTCATTTGGTTATTTTTGTTATTATAGAATGTGTTTGTCTGTCTCTTACAGACCATCTTGTTCACCATGATCATTGAGTGGCCCTGTGTGATTCTTGTTGATAAATTGAAAGTACTAAGTTCTGGCTGTTGCTGCTATTAGCTGTCAGAGCTAATTTTTTTCTTCTTCTTCTTTCATAAGTTATCATACTTATATTTTGGTTTTGGCTTTTTGCTGAAGCATTTGAGAGCAAGCTAGAGATAGTGATCAAAATGAAATTAATTACATTGATAACACACTGTTATCTATAGTTCACATATAAATTTGTTCAGTTTTCCCAATAAAATCTTTGAGAACAAATGCACCTCCACTCCCCCTAAGGCCCAGTCTGATTGTATGCATTGTACTTAGTTTTCGTTTCATTAGTCCACTTGAGTCTAGAATAACTGCTTAGATTTTATTTTTCTTTTTTGCTCTTGATATTTTTATAGAGTATTGGCAAATTATTTTGTAAAATGTCCCTGTTTTTTTATTTAATATTTGTTTATGATTAAATTCAGACAATGAGTTGTCAGCAAAGATCCCACAAAAGTGGCCAGTCATCTTTCTCAGTGCATCATAGGAGGATTCATGTTGGTTTGCGAGTTTCTCCCACTGGTGGTCTTAACTTTGTTCCTTTGGATAAGGGTCTGCCAGGTTATCTTTTTCCTTTTGCAGTTAATACTTTAAGATTATGTAGCTATCTTATTCTTCACCAAACTTAATAATTTTTAGCATCCCTTGATGATTTTCTAGTTGTCTTTTATTATTTATTAGTTTATGGGATAGGCTATATGAGGAGGTTTCTTTTTTTTTTTGAGACAGAGTATCACTTTGTTGCCCAGGCTAGAGTGAGTGTGGTGGCGTCAGCCTAACTCCCAGCAACCTCAAACTCCTGGACTCAAGCAGTCCTCCTGCCTCAGCCTCCCAAGTAGCTGGGGCCTGGCTAATTTTTTCTATATATTTTTAGTTGGCCAATAAATTTCTTTCTATTTATAGTAGAGACAGGGTCTTGCTCTTGCTCAGGCTGGTTTTGAACTCCTGACCCCTCCCAGAGTGCTAGAATTACAGGTGTGAGCCACCGCGCCCGGCCAAAAGGAAGTTTCTCTTCTCACCCATTTATGTATTATACATTCCTTTATTTATAACATTATGGACTCAGGTTCCTGTCTTTCTTATTCAAATTAGGTATAGATTGTCAAACTTTTTTTTTTTAATTGCAGCATCTTAGGTTTTATTAGTTCATCGCTGAGGGAGCAACTTACAGAAAGACAACGAGATTTTTCAGAAATATAAGATACTTTCACATGAACAGAGCAACAACCTATGAACTTAGGCATCTTAAAATATTCTAATGGTAGAAATTGGTTTTTTAAGGATAATTTCAAACTATCGACTATCCTCTACTTACTGCAATTGCAAAGACACATGAAATCTGACAATGTTAAGAGCTTTCTACCTTGAAATAATCCCATAAGGTTGGTACTGTTTTTCTCTCCCACTTGCAGATGACAGAAGTGAGGCAAAGAGATGTTAATTTCCCCAAGGTTGTTCTGCTAGTGATTAACTGTACCAGGATTTTAACCTATGTGTATCAATTTCAGAGCCTACTCTTAGACATTGTCTCAATTTATACCATACCCAGAATAAGAATTAACAGCTGTGGCCTGGAAGTACAGGCACACCAATGATGGGGCCCATTGTGTGACTGGGCACATTGTATGCTAAAGGGTAAAGATGGATATCTGAGCTCCATGTCATGTTCTACTCAAAAGCCACATATCTGCAGCCATCCTGAGGAACAAGTACGTTTTCTACTTCACTGGGAGCAACCACAGGAATTAGCAACATAATTGCCCAGTTTCCATTGACTTCTCTCTTTTTTTCTAGTTCTGCCTCCTTAGGACTCTGTGCTTCCCCAGAAGGAAGAATTAAAAATGAGTAAGTTCAAGGTGAGTAGAGCTTCCTTTTCTCACTATTAAAAATACTATTTTTGTACTCAGAGATGGGACACATGTGTTTCTCCTTGAAAAAAGGAGAGTCAAGGTATTTGAGGACCTGTTGAGTGTGCCAGGTACTTATTTTGGGTCATTTAAATTTAACTGGTTTGGGTTTTAATTTTTTTATTTCATCATTTTCTTTTTTACAAATAAAAGTAGAAAAACTAATAGAAATAAGAAACATCTTCTACTTTACTACTTCCCCACTTAATAAATTGGCTGCTTTTATATTTCTGTAATCTCTTCATCATATGTATTTAAGTTACATATTTGCATTTATAGGACAGATACAATTTAAAAATTTTTATTTAATATTATATAACATTCATTGTTAATTGTTATGTCATGTTCACATCAAATATGTACCCAATTTCTAAATTATTTTCTCTATATAAATAGTTTAGGATTTTTACTGTTTTAGAAACTATAGGCTGGGCACGGTGGCTCACGCCTGTAATCCTAGCACTCTGGGAGGCCAAGGCAGGTGGATTGCTCAAGTTCCGGAGTTCGAAACCAGCCTGAGCAAGAGCGAGACCCTGTCTCTACTAAAAATAGAAAGAAATTAATTGGCCAACTAAAAATATATAGAAAAAATTAGCCAGGCATGGTGGCACATCCCTGTAGTCCCAGCTACTCGGGAGGCTGAGGCAGAAGGATTGCTTGAGCCCAGGAGTTTTAGGTTGCTGTGAGCTAGGCTGACACCACAGCACTCTAGCCCAGGCAACAAAGCGAGACTGTCTCAAAAAAAAAAAAAAAATAGAAACTATACTGACAGTTTTCCTGTATTTTTCCAAAAAAGTCAATTTTTGAAAAATGCTGCTGTTTAGCATATTAGGTATTCAGAATTGAAATGGTATGTTTTGTATGTAGTACTTAGGACGTTTTTGATAGAATATTCAAATATGGCACAAAGCATCAGGATTTAACAGTTGCTTCACTCAGAAATAATATTGTTAGACTTTTTTCTCATGGTAAGAGCTAGATTCCGTCTTACCCATGCCTCAGTCATACCCTGTGTATATTTTATTTACTGGTCTATCTTTTTTCCTTTGAGTTTTTTTTTTTTTTTTTTTTTTATTCAAAGTAATATGTAAGCTTAGTTTAAAAAAGTCTAGTGGTGTTAGAGGACTTGCCAGGCACTTGTGCTCTGTCCCTGTGTTTACACTTCGGCAACTGTATGAAGAGATGCTTGATTTTATCTTCACTTTAAACATGAAAAAGCATTGTCAAAAACAATCTGGTCAAGTTCACATGAGAAACCAAGGATCTAGAGTCAAGGTATTATATTCAAGGCAAAGACCACGACAGGAGAAGAGAGACACAGAGTCTTTCATTCATAGAACTGACATGCCCTTTTGGTTTATTTCCGTGTATAACACTACTCCTCACCTGGCTCCCACTTCCTGTGGAAGGCAGGTGCTATCAAACATTGTTGGGGCTAAATTAGTAAATATTTCTGGGGAAATTGGCAGTGTTAATTAAAAAGTAAAACCTTTTTAGTTCAGGATGCAACAGTTAGAGTTCTAGGGAGTTTACTTACAACAGTACTCACTGAGAGCACCAGGTAGATATACAAAGCTTTCTTTTTCATAGCAGCACTTTTGGTAAAACTGAGGAAACTCAGTATGGCAATGGCAAGAGAGAAGGAGAAGGGCTGGGAAATCTACTACAAATGCCTCAGCATCCAGAGCAGCTTCCCACCCATCCTTCCCACTTTGTGTTGACCCCTGGTCCGGTGGACATTGGTTATAAGATTGAGGTCATGTGTTCTTGTTCTAGGAAGCAGTGACATTTAAGGACGTGGCTGTGGCCTTCACTGAGGAGGAGCTGGGACTGCTGGACTCTGCCCAGAGGAAGCTGTACCGAGATGTGATGGTAGAGAACTTTAGGAACCTGCTCTCAGTGGGTGAGGACAGCCTTCCTCTGTAGTATCTTTGTGACTTTGAGGCTTTAGGCTATGAAGCTCTTAATACGGTCCCCTGAGTATGGGGACCTGCCTTTCCCGGTTCTTATGGGAAGCAGGCACCCGAGATGTTTCTGGTCTTCAGGTCTTTTTCATTTGTGTTTTATAAAATATCTGTAAATGGACAGAATATTGCTATATGTTGTTTGTTCTTTTTCAGATTTCACTCCTATCTCATTAGCAAATTATAAAACCAATTTATTAAATCCCACTAGTATTTTTTTTTTTTTTTTTTGAAACAGAGTCTCGCTTTATTGCTTAGGCTAGAGTGAGTGCCATGGCGTCAGCCTACCTCACAGCAACCTCAAACTCCTGGGCTCAAGCAATCCTCCTGCCTCAGCCTCCCAAGTAGCTGGGACTACAGGCATGTGCCACCATAGTCGGCTAATTTTTTCTGCATATTTTTAGTTGGCCAATTAATTTCTTTGTATTTTTTAGTAGAGACAGGGTCTCGCTCTTGTTCAGGCTGGTTTTCGAACTCCTGACCTTGAGCAATCTTCCTGCCATGGCCTCCCAGAGTTCTAGGATTACAGGCATGAACCACCGTGCCCAGCCTTCTGTTAGTTTTGATATCACAAGAGAGGCCTCCTTTGACTACTCTTATTAAAAACACATTCCTCCCTTACTTTTTGTGCCCTACCTTATTTTGTGTATAAGCATTTATCATCACTTCCTATATATTTTTGTTCACTTATTTATAAGTTACGTCTTCTCAGTGGAGTGTAATTTTCAGGAGTGGAGCAATTTTGTCTCCTTAGTGCTGTCTCCTCAGTGCTTAGAATAGTCTTGTAAATAGAGGGCTCTGTAAATATTAGTTGAATAAATGAATTAGTCAATGCATATGGAAATGTGTCTTCCATGGAGATAACTAATAGGTGAACAAATCAGAAGAAATTAGGGATATTGCAAAATATTTTTTGTCTTCCAATAAATTCCTAACCTAATTCTAATTTCACAGGTCATTAATTCTGATTTCTCTGGGTGGTGTTGTGTGCGTGTGTATATGTGTGTATGTGTGTTTACCTGTCTGTAGCAGTAGAATCACATCTTAGGGACCTAGAGTATTATAGTTGTAACCAAACTGAATAAGATGCTTTCCCTGTGACTTCCTTTGAACAGTTGTAGCAGAGCCCATTCATTTGGGGAGGAATTATTTTTGTAAGAATTCAAGTGCTTTTATTGCCTTTGATTTTTTTCTTCAGAATTAACCCCCTTGATGTAACCTTGCCTCAGGTACACCTTTTCAACTTCTCAGCAAAACTGTACGTTCCAGGCCAGGCATGGTGGCACACACCTGTAATCATAACACTCTGGGAAGCCAAGGTGAGCGGATCATTTCAGCTCAGGAGTTCGAGACCAGCCTGAGCAAGAGCAAGACGTCATCTCTACTAAAAATAGAAAGAAATTAATTGGCCAACTAAAAATATATATGTAGAAAAAATTAGCTGGGCATGGTGGCGCATGCCTGTAGTCCCAGCTACTCGGGAGGCTGAGGCAGGAGGATCCCTTGAGCCCAGGAGTTTGAGGTTGCTGTGAACTAGACTTTAGCCACGGCACTTTAGCCCAGGCAACATAGTGAGACTGTGTCTCAAAAAAACAAAAAATACCCTGTACTTTCCAGTTCTTTTCATATTTCAGATACCTTACTTGTAAAAGCTCATTTGCTTCTATGACTTGGCTCAAACTTAAACTTGAATTTGGAGTTATAGAGAATCTTGGAAATCAAACTGGAATTCATCTATATATACATTTTTTGAGTACTTACTGTTAGGCACTATTCTGGGCTGTAGTTGTAAAACTATGAGAACTACAAAATATTCTCCTTATTGATAGTGCATTATGGTAGGAAAGATATGTAATTTTTAAAAAATGATTTAGATAGTATATCAATAGTTGTGTTTTTGAATGGATTTCATATTAGTCCTTAGTAGTTAGGAGCTTAGTGGACCACTTCTTGGTTTCTGTCAGTATGTAAACCAGAAAATTTTGTATGTTGTGGAAAAGATAAGCTGCACCATCCTGAGGTTCATTAAAGTCTCACACTGTGTCCTAAATAGTTCTTGGATCTTTGAACAAAAAACTCACCTGTCTATATCTCTGAATTCTTTGTCCTTACAGAAGAGAACAGTCAAAGTGAGTTAAGGAGTATTCAAGGTGGAGGAACAAATGAAGAGCTTTCCTGTTGGAAAATCTGGCAACAAATTGCAGACGACTTAACCAGGTGTCAAGACCCCATGATAAATAATTTTCAGTTTCACAAACAAGGTGATTTCCCCTTCCAGGTAGGGGTAGGACTGTCTATTCAAATTTCTGAATATGACAACTATATAGTAAGTCATAAAGCAGATGGTACCAATGATACTGGAAATTCAGAGATTCTGACTTTGAGAAGCCAGGATTCTTTGAGGAAAACTTTCCTGACTAAGTCACAGAATTATCAGAATAGATATCAGCAAATACCCATGAAAAATAAATTATGTCAGTGTAAACAGGATGTTGACCCCATCAGTTGGATTTCATGTCAACACGATGATTATAGAGCACGCAAAAGTGAAAAATTTCATAGATCTGATGATTATGGAAAAGACAACATGAAGATTTTGACATTTGATCAGAATAACCTGATTCATACAGGACAGGAACCTTACCAGTGTAACAAGTGTAAAAAAACCTTCAGTGATCTTTCCAGCTTTGATCTTCAACAGCAATTACAATCAGGACAGAAGTCTCTTACATGTGTCAACTGTGGAAAAGGCTGTCATTATAGCTCAGTTCATCCTATTCGGAAAGTTCACGTGGGAGAAAAACTTAAGTGTGATGAGGGTGATAGGGAATTCAATCAGGACTCACATCTACAAAACCATCAGAAAGTCCATATGATAGAGAAACCATACAAATGTAATCAATGTGGGAAAGGTTTTAGTCGTAGATCAGCACTTAATGTTCATTGTAAGGTCCACACGGGAGAGAAACCTTATAATTGTGAGGAGTGTGGGAGGGCCTTCAGTCAGGCCTCTCATCTTCAGGACCATCAGAGACTCCACACTGGGGAGAAACCATTCAAATGTGATGCATGTGGTAAGAGCTTCAGTCGGAATTCACATCTTCAATCCCATCAGAGAGTTCATACGGGAGAGAAGCCATACAAATGTGAGGAGTGTGGGAAGGGCTTCATTTGTAGTTCCAATCTTTATATTCATCAGAGGGTCCACACAGGAGAAAAACCATATAAATGTGAGGAATGTGGTAAAGGCTTTAGTCGGCCTTCAAGTCTTCAGGCCCATCAGGGAGTCCATACTGGAGAGAAATCATATATATGTACCGTGTGTGGAAAAGGCTTTACTCTGAGTTCAAATCTTCAAGCCCATCAGAGAGTGCACACTGGAGAGAAACCATACAAATGTGAGGAGTGTGGGAAGAGCTTCAGGAGGAACTCCCATTATCAAGTTCATCTAGTAGTCCACACAGGAGAGAAACCCTATAAATGTGAGGTGTGTGGGAAGGGCTTCAGTCAAAGTTCATATCTTCAAATCCATCAGAAGGCCCACAGTATAGAGAAACCTTACAAGTGTGAGGAGTGTGGGCAAGGCTTCAATCAGAATTCACGACTTCAGATCCACCAGCTGATCCATACCGGTGAGAAACCATACAAATGTGAAGACTGTGGGAAGGGGTTCAGTCGTAGAGCAGATCTTAAAATTCATTGTAGAATCCACACAGGAGAGAAACCATATAATTGTGAGGAGTGTGGGAAGGTCTTCAGGCAGGCATCAAATCTTCTGGCCCATCAGAGAGTCCATAGTGGAGAAAAACCATTCAAATGTGAAGAATGTGGGAAGAGCTTTGGTCGGAGTGCACACCTTCAAGCCCATCAAAAAGTCCACACTGGAGAAAAGCCATACAAATGTGAGGAGTGTGGGAAGGGCTTCAAGTGGAGCCTGAATCTTGATATGCATCAGAGGGTGCACACAGGGGAGAAGCCATATAAGTGTGGGGAGTGTGGTAAGTACTTCAGTCAGGCCTCAAGTCTTCAGCTTCATCAGAGTGTCCACACTGGAGAGAAACCATACAAATGTGATGTGTGTGTTAAAGTCTTCAGTCGGTCTTCACAACTACAGTCTCATCAGAGGGTTCACACAGGGGAGAAACCTTACAAATGTGAGATATGTGGTAAGAGCTTCAGTTGGCGATCAAATCTTACAATTCATCACAAGATCCATGTTGGTGATAAATCCTATAAAAGTAATAGAGGTGGTAAGAATGTCAGGGAATCCACACAGGAAAAAAATTCTATAAAATGATTTTTTTGAAGGCTCAAGTGTCATGTGAATTTTTCTAATGAAATCTTAAAAGAAGAAAAAATAATTCGTTTCAAATAAGTGTTTCAGCCATAATTCCTCATGTCCCAGTGGTCCAGTGACCACACAACAGAGAACCCTTATAATTGGTACACTAAAGGCTTCAGTCACAACCTTCACCTTTTACTACTTAGAGGTGTTAGGCTGAGAGTTTTATCAAGTTTTTACAAAAGTATCATTATGGACATGCCACAATTAGTGTCCACTATAATGGTAACTTCATAAGGGCAGAAACTTTGTTCACTATTGAATCTATATAATCTTAGCATTGCCAAGTACTTGATAGGTGCTCAATATTTGTTATATTAATAAATGGGAAAAATATTTAATATTTGAAAATTGTGTTGAGATCACCTCCAGAATATAAGCTTGCATTCCAAACAGGAAACCTGAAAGTAGCCTTAATAAAATTAATTCAGGGAGACAGTTGTAATGTAGAAAACCACTCAATATTGTAATATACAATACTAATTTGGCACAGTCCTGTTATGATTAGCTCTTGTTCTCCCCTAGCCTCTCTAATGAAGTTGGATCCTGTCTGTCTGGACTTTTTCTAATGTTCTATTTGTTTTATATAGATTTAGTTATCTTTTATGACAGTATAGACTGAAAAGTCAGTTTTGTTAATCTTGCAGTAATAGGACACTATGTAATACTGTGTTTTCCCAAAAATAAGACAGGGTCTCATATTTATTTTTCCTCAAAAAGTTACCCTAGGGCTTATTTTCAGAGGATGTGTTATTTTCCCCTCAAAGCCTCAGCTTGCAACACGCCCAGGATAGCCGGGACCTGACGGGGAGCTGACCTTGTTGGTGAGGCTGCCCACACTTTTCTGGTCACCTCTGGGATAGTAGTTGTCATGATGGCAGATTAGAAGGGCTGCTTGTCTTTACCACTCTGCAATGAAATGCATGGGTTGTGCAGATATGCTGCGTAGCCATGCCCATCACTAGGTCTTATTTTCGGGGCTAGGGCTTATTTTATGGATAGGTCTTATTTTCGGGGAAACACGGTACACCATTGATTATTCATTGTTAAGGCAGGCATTTAAGTGTCAGAAGAGTTAATAATGACAAACATTAGTAAATGTTGAATTTTTTTTTGAGACAGTCTCGCTTTGTTGCCCAGGCTAGAGTGAGTGCCGTGGCATCAGCCTAGCTCACAGCAACCTCAATCTCCTGGGCTCAATCCATCCTACTGCCTCAGCCTCCCAAGTAGCTGAGACTACAGGCATGCACCACCATGCCCAGCTAATTTTTTGTATATATATTTTTTGTTGGTCAATTAATTTCTTTCTATTTTTAGTAGATTTGGGGTCTTGCTCAGGCTGTTTTTGAACTCTTGACCTCGAGCGATCCTCCTGCCTCGGCCTCCCAGAGTGCTAGCATTACAGGCGTGAGCCACCACGCCCGGCCTGTAAATGTTGAATTTATTATTAGTTTCTTATTCTCCACATTTTCATTTAGGCTTTGACATGATTGCCTTCTAAGGGCGTTAGCATTACTTTCATCAAAACTTAGGTAAAGGCCGGGCGCGGTGGCTCGCGCCTGTAATCCTAGCTCTCTGGCAGGCCAAGGCGGGCGGATCGTTTGAGTTCAGGAGTTCGAGACCAGCCAGAGCAAGAGCGAGACTCCATCTCTACTATAAATAGAAATTAATTGGCCAACTAATATATATAGAAAAAATTAGCCGGGCATGGTGGCACATGCCTGTAGTCCCAGCTACTCGGGAGGCTGAGGCAGGAGGATTGCTTGAGCCCAGGAATTTGAGGTTGCTGTGAGCGAGGCTGACGCTACGGCACTCACTGTAGTCTGGGCAACAAAGTGAGACTCTGTCTCAAAAAAAAACTTAAGTAAAGGCTTTTTGTGGTAGATAACTTTTGTCAAGTTCTCTGCCCCATATTCTCCTTCCCCCATTCTGAGAAAGGACAAAAATAGCTAGAATTTGATAAATTTTATCAAACACATTGATAATTGGGGCATGACTGATATTTTTTAGCAGTGGGAGTGAAGAATACTTTTGGAAGAGGAGTTAGTGTGTATCAGTATATAATGTTCATCCCTTTGCTCTGTAAATCATAGAATAGGAACTTTAAACTAGGATATTCAAATAGAAAAAGCTAGTAGGAAACACATCAGTGAAATTGCTGAATTTTGTTAGAAGTGGAAATAATTTTTTTTTTTTTTTTTGAGACAGAGTCTCACTTTGTTGCCCAGTATAGAGTACTGTGGAGTCAGCCTAGCTCACAGCAACCTCAAATTTCTGGACTCAAGCAATCCTCCTGCCTCAGCCTCCCGAGTAGCTGGGACTACAGGCATGCGCCACTATGCCCGGCTAAATTTTTCTGTATCTATTAGTTGGCCAATTAATTTCTTTGTGTTTATAGTAGAGACGAGGTCTTGCTCTTTCTCAGGGTGGTTTAAACTCCTGACCTTGAGCGATCTGCCCACCTTGGCCTGCCAGAGTGCTAGGATTACAGGCGTGAGCCACCGCGCCTGGCCAATTTTTTATATACTCATTCAGTAACACAAATTCATGAAATGATGACTAAATTTAGAAGAAGATTAGTGTGGGAACATCATATACCTTAGTCAAACTCTTATGTGTCCCTATGAGTGAATAGTGCATCTGATCATATGTGACAGGCTGTTCACCCTTGCATCAGCAAGGACAATCTGCAGGGTTTTTGTTTTTTGTTTTTTTTTTTGAGACAGAGTCTCACTTTGTTGTCCAGGCTAGAGTGAGTGCCGTGGCGTCAGCCTAGCTCACAGCAACCTCAAACTCCTGGGCTCGAGTGATCCTTCTGCCTAAGCCTCCCGAGTAGCTGGGACTACAGGCATGCGCCACCATGCCCGGCTAATTTTTTTTATATATATATCAGTTGGCCAATTAATTTCTTTCTGTTTATAGTAGAGACGGGGTCTCGCTCTTGCTCAGGCTGGTTTTGAACTCCTGACCTTGAGCAATCCGCCCGCCTCGGCCTCCCAAGAGCTAGGATTACAGGTGTGAGCCACAGCGCCCAGCCTGCAGGGGTTTTTTTTTTCATATTTCTATATTTTTTAATTTTCATTGAGCACCAATTTTAGTAAAATACTGTTATTTTTCAAAGCAGATAGTAAAGTTACATAAAATATAATTTGAAAAATTACTGAGAACATTAATCCCTTATAGTTAGGAATTATCTGTCCTTATATGGCACAGAAGGCCAAAATTAAGGGATGGAAGTCTGGAAATCATTTATAAAAGCTATGAATCAAAGATGCAGATACAGTGGTGTGAATATGTATTTACAGCTGATGCATTTGAAGCTTCATAGGCACAAATAGAGCCTAAAAGATTTTAGTATAATTTCAATAGTAGGAATTAATGCATCCTTATTCCTGTCAGATTCCTTACTGACTGAATGGGTAGCCCAGAGCACTGCATGTTCTTTCCATCTTGATCTGATTGGGGAAATGCCTGAGTCTTTCCAGGCACTGTTTGGCAAAGAATCTTGAACTGTGGTAAAAAGGAATGATGAAAAAAATTTATTACAAAGGAATAGGGTGAGGGCAAACCTTAAAGATAGAGAGTGAAAATAGCCTTTGAAGGTAAAATTTAAAAAGATTCCCTGAGGAAAAGATATGCATAGAGAGGGAACAGCATGATGCCAGCAGAGATTAATGATCGGAGCAAGCAGTTAAGCAGGATTGAATACCCACCCTTTCTTTCTTTTTAGACATTTCAGTGATGGTTAAATGGCTTTACTCAGTTGGTTAATGTGAGAAACAGGTTCCTGCAATTTCCTGTGGCTTCCTGGACCACATCTTCACATGCTAAGTATGTAAAGTCCATGCTACCTCAAATTGCATTAGAAATCTGGGTTTCTGATGTTTAGTTTGCTCTTGTAGATACCAGGATAGCCCCCTAACTCTCAAGATAATTTGTTGTTTAGTGGGTTAAGCCAAGAGTTGGCAAACTCTCCCTTGTGAGCCAAACCTGGCTCACTGCCTTGAAAGCTTTATTGGAATACAGTAACGCCCCTTTCATGTATTGTCGTCTATGGCTACTTTCTCACTACAATGACACAGTTTAGTACTTGTGAAACAAACACTGTGGTCCACAAAATCTAAAATACTTTCTGGCACTTTACAGAAAAAGTTTGTTGACTCCTATGTTACGTGAACTTTCACTTAACATTTATCTCTCATAACTGAAAAGACCACAGGTAGAGTAGGACTTAGAGCTGCTTCAGTCTAAGGCAACTAGAATGGTTGCCTTTTGATTCTCTTATCTGCCCTTTTGGTTGTTAGATTGGTCTAAAGATGGCACTAGCAACTGAGGAACGGTTTCTTTTTTTTACAACCAATGGAAGAGATGCTCTTACATTTGTAGTGTTGGGTAGTTCACTGCTGAGTCCCATTGTTCTTGGCTCCTATGACCTTGACTCCTATTTACATTCTAAATTAAACTTACTTGTATCCAGTTCCCTTGGCCTATGTTAGCTATTAAGTTTCAACTCCCACTTGCCACTGTGGGCTAGAGTTCTTCATTTTAGGCCTCAGGGAGATTTTCCTATCTTAGCTTTGAGTTTGGCTACATGTTAACATTTTGGGGGACTTGTTATGTATTAACATTTCTTAGTTTTTGAAAAAAGAGGCACCCAAAGTTAAATGCAGTCAGGGGCTGACTGACAACACATTGAATTCAAAGCCTTGTAGAGTCTTCTGTCACAGGGCATCAAGGGGAAGGAGTGGAATTCTGAAAAATTGGAATGGGAACATATGGGCAGACTCCAGCAAAGCTGAGGACTACCTCTAAATTTAGCAGAACATCCTTTGCCATTAGAAAGAGCCCTTCCTCCCCTTTCTGAGGTTACTCTCCCCTTGCTTGAGATACCTGTAATGACCTCCCTCAGATAGTTTTCTTGCAAGGGACTGTAGATCCTCAAGACTTGCCCTCCACTACCT